TGGCTGGGCTTTCTCTTGACTGCCATTGCCATGGTTATGCCCAAAAAATGTTGCAACAGGAAATCACTCAAGGACGAGAGTTGCGCAACTGCCGCCATGGGAAGCAATGGATCAAGCCACAACAGCAATGGCAGCAGCCAGCACAGCTGCCGGGACTCATTCAATGGGAATAACATCTCACCACAAGTTCGTTCTCTTGCAGATCAAAATCCTACATTGAAGAGGTCTGAGATCTGGCTTGAAGGACGCGTCCACCGAGTCGTCCAGCATGAGTTTCACAATGGCCTATGTGTCCGCGCAGAGTTCTTCGCAAATGGGACAGTTCATTTTGCTCATGAACATTCTGTGGCCGAAGTGAGACGAGGATCTGTGGTTGAGGAATTGCACCGCTGCATGAGGGCGTGCAGCGGCCGGCTTTTCAAGAGGGGCCCCACGTATCCACCAGGTGTGGGGCCAAGTTTTGCGGAGCTTCGCACGAGAGCGCAAGCCTATGAAGGCAAATATAACGTATTCCACAACAACTGTGGCCATTTTGCGGTAGATCAGTGTCGCCGGGCCCGTCGTGCTAGGTTATAAGCATGAGCTTGTGCCAAGTATCTAGACCTAGTAGGTTTGCGCAGAGGGTGACTCACGTACGCCGAAAAAAGATGCACCGATCACCGCAGCAACGGTTTTGGACGTTCCGCGGCCCCGGAAAGTGGTGAACGGGCCGTACGGGGCCGTGCGGGTCGGTCAGTCCCAGGTGTTTTCTTGCTGCTGAAGGTGGCCATCGAGGTCCGCGAGCGTTTGAAAGGGAGGGGTTTCCTTCTATTGTGGATGAAGGAAGGACATCTTCTTTGTTCATCAAAGAAATTCATTGCCGCTGTTTCCTCTTCTTTCATCTTTCTATATAGCTGTTCAACATGCACGATTTGAACACATTGATATGCTCTTCAGATGTGAGTTCTTTTTCTTCAATGGAAGAAGCTTTGCTTGCAAGCCTCTTCCACTGAGCGAAGTTGACCTGCCGTCCAAGTTGCTGATACTCAAGACACATGGCATTTACTGATGTGTAGAGTATGCTGACAAGTGAACAAGACACGTGAGAGCTCGACATCAAAGTAGGCACAGGCATAAGCAAAGAAATAGGGGTATAGCAAGCAAAAAAACGTTGGACACAACATGAACTCCACCATGCTCCAAACTCCAATGACTGCCATTGAAATCACTCGTTTTGGGCCATTAGAGGTGCCGTTCAAGCCTCTCAACCCTGCCCCGTTCAAGCCTCCGCCCAACGGTGCAACGGTGCCGCAACGGTCGTCGTCTCACGGACGGAGCATTGCACCGGCCATGCCATGTCCACCGCCCTTTCGAACTTCGAGGCGCCGTTCGGAGCGCCGTTCGGAGCGACGTTCGAGGTCCACTCAAAGGACGGACTATGGGACTCTCCGGTCGTCGTCGCACGCGCGTTCGTAGGTCGCAAGGGAGAAGAGGAAGTAGTCACAGAGGAGCAGAAAGGGTGCGGTGGTTCTACGCAGTTTGATGGTTTGGACGGTTGGCCATTCAATCCCTAAGACCATCTAAGACCAATCTCTCCTCTTGCGAAGCTGAGGGCGCCCTCAGTCTGCTGGACTGCTGGGATGCTGGACAGCCCTGCTGGATGGCCCTGCGCCAGGCGTTACATGTGGCCTTCTCGGAGCTATTCGAATATCAGAAGCTCTTGAGCCAGGAGTGCCATGCCTTGAGGCGCCGAAAGCAGCCCGGCGCGGGGGCGACGTGGATGGAACCCGGTGTGCGACGATGTCCGCGCGGTGGGTCCCGATCGTGGTTTTGCGGAATACCGGATCTGGAAGGCACTGGAAGGTGGATGATGGATGATGAACTTCTTGTGATGGGTATTTACATGCATTTACAGTTACAGCAAACAATAGCAAACACTATTTAGCAAACTACCATGTTCCTTTGAACCTGTTGAGCATTACTCTTTTTGACCGGATGGACATTGGCACATGGTATATAACCCCATCGATTCCTCTGGTGGCCACACCAATTTGGATAATTTCCTTTCAGGGTCCAACATTGCTCAGGAGAGGAACACTTTGATAGGTCAATCAGATGGATAGTACCAGAGATACCGATCGGATTGTTGATGTGATTGGTGTTAGTTGAGGGGGGTTGACGAAGGAGACATGTTCGTGTTGTACCGACGTGTTTGTGAAAGCAAAAGAGATTCTAGCTAGAATGATTGCGCAAGAATCTTCCAGTTAGTCCTCTGTAATTATTGTAATTGGGCAGTCTTGGGGCTGATGGCCAGGCAAGGTGCTTGCAGGCGTTTTTCCCAAAGGGTTTTGTGAAGAAGCTAGCGCATCCATGTTTGTTTATTGACTTGGCGACGGTTGCAAGAAAAGGGGGTCCAGATTGGTAGAGGCTCGGCAGCATAGGTCCAAAAAGCAGAGTTTTCTTGATGCCAAACAGTCTATCAGTTTCTAGGAAGCTCTCTGCCGCCCTGGAAGGCATGCCACCTACTTGCAAGACCTCTGGCTCATATCGTGCTTGCAAGTTTCTTGTCTCATGTTGTAGCTCTTGCATTCTTTTGCGTTTCATATCTTTGTTCCTCATGGTTGCTTGAGTTTGCTACTAGGTAAGAGGAACATCCCAGTGCCACTACTCTTTGGTTTCAGAGAGTCTAGTAAGGAGGCAATCTTGCCAACTTTGTCCAGCTAAGGCTTGGCAAGAAGTTGCGCAAACAGAAGCTGAGTAACTTGATGTTGAACATCCCCATGCCTGATCATGCTTTGTACATGCAACATGTTTGCCGTTCGGGTGTTAGTTACAAAGAGTCCTCACCGGCGAGTCCCGGTTGGTCCATGAACGGCGACCGAGGCAGAAGGGGTCACCAGTAATGACAGGCAGATACAGGCAGAACAAGGTGGCCACCCCTTCGCATGTTTCAACACTTTTGGGGGATGAGAAGAGACTTTCCACGACGCAAGGGCTCTTTCATCACACATCTCACAAACACCGGACGTCAAGGCGTCAAGGTATGATTGGAGCGTAGCAGGCGTAGCAATGTGGCGCCTCCCGGAGATCGGCGACTACACACCATTCACCCTCCGTGCTTTTCGCACCAGGAAAGCTGAACACTTGCGGAACTTGCTTCCGTACTGGCAAGCTTGGCGCGACTTCGCGCAGGCAGAAAAGACTGCTCGGCACCTGGGTTCCAACAAACACCCACGGCGGCGCAAGTTGTTTCGTTCGAAGGTCACAGTGCATGGCGATGTCGATGCATTTGAGTGCAAAATGAAGCAGTGGGTACGGAATTTCAATGACCACATGTAAGGCATGCAGCTTTGCAGACGTTGCTCCGTGATTCGTTTTGCGGATGGCACGACTTTGCAGCGACGGAGAAGGCTGCGAGGTGGCTCGGTGTTCCGTTTTTGTTGCCGATTTGTTCTCCTGGGTTTGTTTGCTTTGCGGATGACCACTACAAACCACTGGTCCAGTTGCCGCATGACTGTGGATCGAAGAGACGGGTGGAATGTGATTGATGCGATGGGCCACTGAACCAGATTGGCGCTCAGATTGGCTTGGTAAATCTTTGCAAGTTGTTTGCTTTCCCGAGGCATGCAACTTTGCGCTTGCTGCTTCACTGCCTGCGCATCTGGCGAGACTTTGCAAAGGCGGAAAAAGCTGAGAGGCACCTTGACAGTAGATTTATGGAGCATTGTAGCTGAAGTCCAATCTAGCATAACTAGTTTGATAAAATAGTTGTTTTGGTGAACCATCATGAAACATCACTGTTGGCAAACCTTTGCCAAGAGGGAACAGCACGGGGCTGTTTTTGTTGCTTGGTTAGCTGGCCTCTTGCATCAATACTGTTCTCGTAGTTGTTCAGTTTGCAAGAACTAATTTTGCAATGTTTGACTCCAAGAGTGTAAATACATTTAAAAAAAACAAACATAAAAACACCACCGTTTGCAAGAGTTTTGAGTTCCTGTCAAGTCAAGTAAGACTGTTCATGGCACATGTCCTTTTTTTGAGCTCTTTTGCTATCGTATAGCAGCTTATAAGCAGACATCAGTCCACGATGTTAAGGATTGTTCTTCTAAGGCAAGCAGACATGCAACGCTTGCTGCT